GAGGAGTAGAAAAATTACCCCGTAGTTTGAACCACGAGCAATGATGGATTCAATCTGGAAATGGACATTGGTCAATTAAACTTCAAATCTAGCTATAGCATTATGCAGTACTCACTTGTTTGAATATGTCCACACCAGTCCTTGTTTGCAATTGGATGACTGAGGCGCTTTTGATTGGACATTGTCAATCGCAGTAGGAAAAGTAGGAATGATCAAGATGTTAAGCTGAAGAAATTGACAGTGTCAAATGCTAGAATGGCAATGATTAGAGGTTTGGTTGAGGCAAAGAACAGGGAAGCGGTTAGCACCAGGTTGATGGTAAAGAAGTAAGAATTGATCAGTGAAGGATTTTGTTTGGGGGGAAAAGATATATCTATATAGGCCAATGAAGTAGGCGATAGCGATCTGAACCTCATCTAATGTTCCTATGCAAAAGACGTATTTGTCTTCTGCGGCACCACTGAATAGGTAATGACTTAGGCATTGGATACTACTCTGGTTTTGGTTGACAACCAGAACAGTCCGATTGGTGAACAGGAACATTTTTTTTGTCAATGGTCAATATCTAATGAATTAAGCAATCAATTGCAATCGCTGGTTAGGTTCATGACTGAAACTTGGACCTAGAGCACATTACAGGGCCTGAGATCAGTGTATCGATTGTTCAGCGCAGTTCTGGCAACAGAGATAAAGAACTTAGAAAAAAAGGAAATACTCCTGGATAGGGAAAAGGAAGCAAGAAAGATTTTGTTTGATATTGTCGGTCAATTGCCAAATGCGACTGTCATTAAAACCTTTTCAGGAACTCTGCGTCGTATGAAAAGAGGACAGATAACCAGCAAAGGCATTGTTTAGTGGATTGCTTTGGGCAATACATAACAGAATCGGGCACAGGCATTGATCTGGAGGTACACACAAACAGCGCGCATACGACATGGTCGGACCAGGAGCAAAAAGCCTCTTTTATATGACATGGGTATAGATTCAAAATACGAATAAGGAACATGGAATGACTAAAAACCAAGATCAATGGGGTACTCCCCACTTACCTTAGTAAGGTCTTTAATCATAAGTTGAACAGGGAACAACAATCAATCCTTATATTGGGTCGAGCGCAGGTCGCGGGTTCAAATCACATTGAAGGAATAGGTGAGAATCAGTGTATACGCGTACCGTTTTTGAGACACAAGCAAACGATGTTTGATTTTTTATGATCAAGAAAACAGTTTGATTATCATCTTTAGTGTGAGATATGACTACGGCTTGGATAGTTTCAAGTTGAGGATTTATGGCCTTTTCTTTAGGTCATCAATCATTTTTGTACAGAGTAGGTCTTTGGATGAGGGCGAATAAGTTGATAGAAATGGAAGTAATCTATTTCAGGAATACTCATACACAATAACCTTTTGACGAGTTATTGAGTTAGGATCATTTTCAGTCAGGAAAGCATGTGTGGCAAAGAGATACGCGGTACAAAAAATTGTAACACTTAGGAGGAAAAGGGCGATGTATTAGGATAGAACATGATTGGTTTACGGCAGGACAAAAAATGTAGGCTCAAAGTGAAGAACAGGGCGTAGACATTAAATATAGGTTCTGGTCAAAGACCATTCACACAGCTACAGGGTCATAGGTAATTTGATCGACCTGCTTTGCAATGATAAAAGACATGGGACTGAAGTCAATATAGAATTGGTCAATGAAGCAACAGATTTAGGGACAGAAAATAGGACTGACATGGATGTAAAAATATTGAGGATCTTGTTGTGTAATCATCCCAGATATCCAGATTCTGGAAGTAGGCTGTATGTGAGGCAGTCGACGATAGGTATTGAATGAGTAGAGTAGGAGAACAAAACCGCGATTCTGCAAAATTGATCAGGTCTTAGCGGTGAGAGTCGTAGGCTGTGGAAATGAGCAATAATCTTACATTAACAAGGAAAGGGTCATGAGCTAATACTCTAGGATATAATTGAAGAATTTTAATCCAGCCAAATACTCGTGGTTCAGTTTTGAGGTCGAGGTCTGTTGGTATAGGTGGTTTATTGTTAATGTTCAGCGCAAGAGGTTTATTCTCATTCTCATGAGGTGGATTACGGATGGTGCCACGGGCCATGGCAGACATGAAGCAGCTGTATAATGTTTGTGATTGAGGACAACAGATAGGGGCAATGAGGTTGCTGGTTATGAAGAGGTTAATGTGATTGAGAACATAGCACAAGAAATTCAATTGAGCAAAGGGAATAGTAGAACAGGGGGGTGGTTATTATTGAGACAAAATCTATACACGAATGGACAGAGCATCGACTCATAACATGTTTCAATGATTTAAAAAGTGAAAAGTGGAGTGGCCAGGGGCAAATGGAAGTACATAAAAGGAAGAGAGATCTGGTTTAAGTGATCAGAGCATGCATCTAAAAGGAGGGATACATATCAGTAAACAAGAAGATATCGTTGCTAGTAGAAAAGGGACCGACTTTGACATAGATGAAAGAGTCTTTCACATCGACAACAGCCCCATCAAACCAAAAATTTTGCTCCGAGGTTAATCTGGCCAAAGTTTTTTGGTATGAGTTGGATGAGCAGTGGCAATGGAAGATGTGTCCCTGAATAATGCAATAGGAGTCAGGATATATGACGGGATGATGTTCACATAGTATTGCTCACAGGAAGGTGAAAAGATTTAGCGGAGACGGTATTTTCATCTATGAATTTGACCATGATCAGTTGCCCAAAAAGTTCTAGCTCGGAAAAGCGTTGACGAAGAGGTATTTCATGATAATAGTTGGAAGCAGTAGCATGAACTGTGATAGGCGCAGAAGCGGTGTCCGCGGAAATGGGGCCCTCAAACACTAACCAACCTCTGCCGTTTGGGTGTGAATCTCTGGGAGCCGGAGTCAGGACATCAAGCTTGAAGTTGTAAATTGGTTGTATATCAGCGTCAGAATTGACGGAAATCCAAGGAGTTGTATGTGCAATTTTGTAGAGATTGTTGAGGCCTAATCTAGGAGCATTGGGGACAAAGGTTACGGAACGGAGTGTGAGCTTGGTGAAATACATGTTGGGGAAGGGATGAGGATATAGTCATGGATAAATGGACTGTTTCAAACTTTGTTTAAATAGGTTTTCAAACATTGGGGAGTGGGATTGTGTTTGGTTCCTGCTTTAGTTTGAGGCAAAATTTAGGATTAACGGGTGAAATGATAGGTTTAGGTTATATGACTATTGACTGAATTTGTTAATTGTGAATCACAGAAGTAGGAGATTGTGATGAGTTAGTTTGCATTAAGAAATACAGATGGGTTTGTGTCGCGCGTCTGAAGCGCGTATGGGACCCAAGCAAAGGGGTGGTGACATTTTGGGAAGTTTTTCTGGATTAAGTTGTTGAGTGAAAATCAGATGAAGAAATGGAAGAGGAATATTTTCAGGGAAGAGGAAGCGGGGTTTGATTCGATGATTGGAGAGTACTTAGAAACAGGGAAGAGATGACAAAAGAAGAGGATTTGGGAACAGAAATAGGTAATTGTGTCGAGGGGATTTGGATTTAGAAATACAGGGGAACGTAACTTGAAGAGAATGAGATCGGATATTGGCCCTGGAGCAGGAGGTGTTTACAGTTTAGGAAGTTCTTCTGAGGTTGAGGCTCTTGGAGTGAAGTTCAGATAAGGAAATGGGTTAGCGAAATGGTGAAGGAAGAGGAAGCAAATTTTGATTTGGTGATTGGAGTGAGCCACGGAACAGAGGAGAGATGAGGAAATGCAATATAGGATTTGGAAATTAGAAATGAGAACAGGTTTTTGTTTGAGAGATTGCAGACGGGTAAGGAATTTGGACAGACAGATGTTGAGTTATGAGGAAACAGGAGTGGGAACAGGTAGAGATACAGTCAAGGTTCAGGAAACAAAAGGATATGAGAATATATAAGAGCTGAGGACTTTGTGAAAGAGTGCTCCTGGCACAGTTCCAGAGCTTAAGGTTCATTGTGGTACTTGTGCACTGGGGAAATGCTGATGAAAAGTGCTATGATTTTGTCGCTTCATTGTTGGTGATGTACTTACCCTTTAAAACTCCCCTATACAAGTCTCCCACACTTGTCATTGGTCTACTCAATTCAGCCTCAGAGCTCCTTGGTAAACTCCGCTGTTACAACCCAGGACTAAAAATAAATCTTTTTGAAATAATTTGACAATAAAAAAAGGCCAGAATAACTTTTATCAACCTCTAGATTGCAACAACCTCAGTTGGAGAACAGCACTAGAAATAAGCCTTTTTAAGCACTTCCAACTCCTGATTTTCTGCCCTGAATATGCTCATGAAATTATAGGTAAGTAATATCACTTTTATGGATATTTTCCCCCTGATTTATTACTAGGATCAAAACTGACTAGCCAGGCCCCTCTGGTTTGAATGTTAATAATTTGATTAATATCATTAAGAAAACTTTCTCTAATTTCAAGCCCAAAAATTCTAATAAAGCATTGCAATTTACTTCAATCTCCTTATCCTCAGAGCTTAACATGCTTTTGATCTCACCTTTGCATCTTGGCATCACATAGGCTGAGGCTAAGTCCCTCTTCTTGCTCTAACTCAGCATTCCCCTAGGTACTTTATCTTCTTTCTCAGCTGTGTCTTTCTTTCTCTTTCATCTGACCAACATAAATAATCTAGTTAAGCCACATGTTATTTTAAGTTCCAACTTATCAGCGGTGGGCCGCTACACTACGCTACGCTTTTGGCCCAAAAGGTGTAGCGTAGCGGCGCTTTTTTCATCAAAAAACTGTAGTGTTAGCGTTTTTCTAGCAGTTTTTTGCTATGCTACGCTGTGCTACAGCGCTTTTAGCACAAAAAGCAGCCAAAAACCGCTAAAAAGCGCTGTAGCGCAGCGTAGTGGGCCCTTTCTTGCGGCCCACAGGTGTAGCGTTAGCGGTGTTGTGGCGGAATTCCACCACACTAGGCTTAGCACTAACAGCAATTCCGCTGTGTTATGCTACACTAACCGCTACCGTTAGTGTAGCGGCCCACCGTTGAACTTATCCTGCCCAACATTGGAAATCCAGCACACCCACCCCATTTCACATGGTATTGCTCATCCCGCCCATTCCACATGGGTAAGATTTCCAGCTCTTCCAGCCCTACTTTCCAGCTCTTCCATCCCATTTCACTGAGGCAATTCCTGCTCATACAGCCCACCATGCCAGCTCATCCAGACCATTTCCCAGGGGCAATGCCAGCTCATCCAGCCCACCTTTCTAAATTCCAGCTCATCAAGCAGGGGTGAATTTGGCTTATCCAGCCCGCCTCACTGGGGAGATTCCAGGTCATCCTGTACAATTTAAAAGCTCCAAGCTTACCATCCTCTTTTCATATCTTGCCTAATGATAAGTATTTTCAAGTGTTCATCTGAGTGGATGGGAACTGCTGCTTTTAGTTTAATTGCAAAATTATTCCGAACAGTTTCAGTCCATTTGGTCTACCACACAAAGGAGATGACTACTGCAAATTCTTCAAGTAATCACAATAGGAAGCATGCCTAGGGTGAAATGCTATTCTATGAAGTTTGGAATCAGATTAGGTGGAAAATTAAAACTCATTACAGTCATTTTCATGGGAATAGATAATGTCATGGTTTTCTAATGATTGCTCCAATTCTTCCTGTTGTAAAATCTGTTCCTCTTCATACTCTTCTATATCTTCAAACTCCATCACCACCAAGGCTCCTTGGTTTAGTTTTTCCCACATCTTTTTGCAATTACTTATTAGAATTTTCCACTGATCTTCCATATTTGCTTCATTGTCAGCTGCTTGAGAGGAGGAATATTTTTGACTCCACAGAAGGAGTGGGGTAATGTGAGAATTCCAAGCCATCCACACTCAACAGTGTTTTTTGCAAGGTTGGAATATATTGAGTCCAGGGCTAATCTGGAAATGTTATGCTTGGTGCATACTTCAGATAAGAATGTTGTGCTAGAATGGGCCCCATTGGTCTGAAGTGATACATCTATGGTTTGAAAAAGGAGGGAAAACAAAGTTAAGTCAATTTACCATGTATTTTGTTTGCTTTTGACAAGTATTATCACAGTACCTCTTTCCAAAAGTTTGAACAGTTCCTCCAGGTTGGCCAATTTTGATATTGCCCACTTCATGGCTTGCCTCGCCTCCCTTGCAATCCGAGAAAGCTCCTCTTGAGAACAAGTGACTGTCAGATATGCTGAAATTCCACTTTAATCAATGGAATCGACTGCCCAGGCCTCTTGCGGATGAGTTAGTGATCCAAGATTCCAGAAGGCATCTGTTAAATCCATAGCCTTGACTGTATCAAATGTTGGAGTAGGTACAAGATTTTCTGGGTTGAACTTTGTATTGTAATCAGTTGCCTTCTTATCATAAGAATTCCACTTGCTTCTAAGAAGCTTTGTTTTGGAATTCATAATCTTCTTGATCCGAGCCTGTACACGAGTGCCTACATATCAATACACATATCAGTAGTGCAAAATATATGAAAGAATACAACATAAATACTGGTCACATACCTAATCCCCTTTGATCCCACTTCTTTTGAATTTCACACACTCCAACCTTAGCCTCGTAAAGTTTTGACTTGCTGATCTTCATCTTGATAAGGTGTTTGGTCTGTGTATCTGGGATTTGAATATGATTTTATTTTGTGGGTTTATGAGAGCACTATGTGAGAAAATACTCACTGGAGGTTCCTGTTAAATTTTGAATGGAATCTGATCCTAGTTCTCCAATGATTTTTTCAATTTCTTCCTCCAAAAGGGCCAAAGGGGTAGGTAGTTCTTGATGGTCCTGTCTCATCCAATCCCCGCGGTGATTCCTCCGTCCCCTTCTTTGAAGTTGGTTCATTTCTTCACTGTAAAGGGGATGATAATTATAACCCAATGAATGTAATTTTCAAGTCTTACTGTGCTTCTCGGAGCTTATCCTCCAATTCTACCAATTCTTCAAATTGGTCTTCCACCTCTTTGGGTGATTCAGCAGCCATTTGTGAAAGCTGGCACTCCCTCTGCCGTATCCATTGATTCCTGAGGTATTCACTGGTGTGACCATGTTCTTCATGGATAGTTTTCAAAACTTGTTTGGATTCTTTCATTAACTTCTCAATTGATTTTCCTTGATCAAGCAGAAACTTGACTGAGAAGAAGATTTGTAAAGTCAGATTACTGGATGTCACGTTGTTTTCAACATTTTATCATTCAAGCAATTACCTGCATGCATTTTTCCAACTTCATTATGGTGAGCTGAGCACAAATATAAGGCTGAGAGTTGATGGTTTTTGGGGGAATAGCGGAGGGGGCTGATGAGTGGTGATAAATAAGCCCAGACACACTCTAACCCTTCGCCATCTGACATGCCCCAACGAGGATTTAATCGGGGATTGTACTTGAGTTGGAAAGACCACTCATGTACATACACATGAAAAACACTGGTGCCAAAAATTAATTGGTTTTTGGACCTTTCTTCAGGAAATTGATCTCGCTTTGAAGAGAAGAAAAACAAATTTAATCCATACAATCAGTCATTTTTCTGACATGATGTGGGGAAATGCAGTTTGAAAACCTTACCTTTATTATCCCCTTTTCAATATTACAGCCTATATTGTAAAGGAAGCCATATCTCTTTGGAAGATCCCCATCCTCTTGAGTTGATTTGATAAGGAAGTTAGCCATGGTCATAGGGAAGTAGGCCCTGAAGGATATTACAATGGTAACTATTTAACAAAAGTGCAGGTAGAATGAAGAATTGAAGTACGCACCTCTCTCCACTCCTCTCAATGTTGATCAGCCTCAAGATTTGGTCATGTCGGCAGGCCATACCAAAAATCCCAGTATTGTCACAGGCCTTCCGAGTGTGGCTACCTTGCAGATCATCAGCTGCCGTATGTTGATTGGTACAGTGGTCCTGGAGATTGAAATAGAAGTTAATGATTATTGGTACAGCAATACTTAAGCTGCAAAAAATAAGTGAATGAGTGTGTGGGGTGGACAGACTTGACTTACTAATGACTCTTGAGCTTTGGCATCACCAATTCTAGTATTGTTCACGGAGATCGGCATGGCCTGAACATCTTCTTGTTCAACAAAAAGACTAGGTGTCTTGAGAGCAATGACCTCATTGCTAGAGGCCTTATGTCGTCTATGTTGAATGTTTCCGTCCATGCATACTATATAATCCGGTTCCTCAGGTTTTTTTCCGGGGACTGGAGGGCCAAAACACTTGGGACAGAGATCTGACATTTTGTCCATGGTTGACATCTTGAGCAAATCTTCAGAAACCTCTGTTCTCTTCTTAGCATTTCCCTATAGGCATCTACAGATGATGAAAGGGTTCTTTGCCATTGGCAAGACTATAAAGGACAAGATATTATTTCAATTCAGTTAATATACACATTTGTTTTGCCCTAGCGACTTACTGTATGAGAGTCCGCTAAAGAATTGGGTTGGTTGACAAGTATCAATGGATTGTTAAAGTCCAAGAACTCATCAAGCAATTTGGCAAACAGATTTATTGACACTGCATTGTGCTTCCACAGAATGTGGTGGAATTGGAGCAGTCGGATTGAGAAAGCGGTCCGCGGGTATTTGGGTGCCCCACCTATGTAACCCATTTGAATGAGCCAGACCTGGTCAGGCTGACAATCACAAAACTCAATGGTGTTTTCCTTTTTGACCTGGTGAATGTGTACAGACAGATGATTCATGTCAATTAAATATACTGGAGGTATGAATAATCATGCAATTAAAATCAAACAATTCACACATACATATAAGATCAACAAGGACCACAACTCTTGATCAAGGATTTTGGCATCCACACTGTGTTATCCCAGCACAGCTGGTCTCCCCAATTTGAAGTCTTTGCTGCACATTGATGGAACCATTTAAACATTTTTCTGTAAACCGCCTCCCAAAGTTCTTCTTCCAATAGCTTTTTCCGTCTGTAGCTCTCTGTGCGCAAGTAGTCCGCTAGCAACTGAACTTGAGGATTGGGTAGGTGTTGCTGGTCCTCAGTTGGTTCATCTCCAACATTGAAATCACAATCGGGGGAATCGGCCAGTGGATAAAAGGTATCCTCTGTTGTGCTGCTGCTGGATTGTAAATGTGTCAAGTCTTCAGAGCAAATGGCCAATGCGGAGCTGAGAACGTGTTCTTTTTTGAGTCTGAGGGATTTGCTTAAGCAGATTGATGAAGATGTTGTTGGTCTGCGGTTTTGCTTTCTCTTCTTTCCTCCTTCTCCCTCAAATGGTGGCATTTTTGTGTTGAAGAGATTTCCGGTGGTCAATAGCCAAGATTAGGTGATTGCAGAGCCCAAAGCAAAGCCCAGATGGATACTTTTGGAAAAGCCCATCACATAGTTCATTGGAATATGTGTCAAAAAATACATGGGAGAACTGATCCTTTGGAATCAATGAGATCATTGATGAATATTCCCAATTGAGTGGCCGACATTCAAAACTGGGATCTGAACTCAACTAACATTAAGAGCCAGTACCATAGGGCACAAAAATTCAAATTTTCAGAATTGATCTTACTCAATTTATCATTTCATCAATGTTGAACATCACCAGAAGCCAGTCATTGGCTTAAAATTGAAGACTCTTAATTTAGATCCCTCTGCTGTGTATCAAATTTTGTGTAGAAGGCAGAAGAAATGTGCATTTTTCAAAATGGAATCCCAGAGCACTGGCCCTTGAATTCAAAAGTTGCACCTGAACTCAAATATTTTTATTGGGGGAATGATCATGGGGGAATGATCAATGGGTTGTGGGCTGGATACTCAGCATAATTGTTCCACTTATGATGCAAGTGGACCAATTGCAATTAAATAGCTACCCCTGGTGAAGTCTTGAAATGTTTTAATTAGTCAGAAGCATATTGATCTTGGATTTTTGACATCAATCCATTTCAAATCAACCCATTTCAATCAACTCCATTCCCCATTATCCATGGTTAGATGAAACCTTCACTACTTGCAATTCTTGTTCAAAGCAGGGGAATCTGATCGGATATATCTTTTATTATAAAGACATCAGAAGTAGGTGTTGTTCTATGTTTCTTCATGTTGATGAGATACAGGTCTCTTTTCCATAATTCATTTCTCAAATACATCCAAGGAGGCATTTTTAGAAGTTCATCCAAAGATTCCTCATAATCACCACTGGACTGACAACCCTCACAACATCTCTGATGGGTGTCTCTGTGCACATGCCATTCAGAGGTTTTCTTGACTTCCTCATCTCTTGTTGACAGGCCTCCTCAAGGATCCCAAAATTTTAGATTTCCCATATACCCAATCTTCAATGTTCAACATCACCAGGGAAATTATAATTTTGACCTTCCCCTAAACTTCAACACCTAGAAATATGACTAATCATCCAATCACCATCCACTTACATAACTCATAGTATTTCAAGAGATCTGACTTGCATAACCAAAAATGTGATTTAACCTCACACCCACAGCCAGTACATACAAAAGGGAAGTTCAGGGAGCCTTTTTTTCAACATGCCCAATCCAAAGAACCCTGAATTTCTATATAACTGTAAGAAATCTATCCCAATGGCACTTATGAGGAGAGCATATCCCTTCATGGTATCCCACTGGAATGATTTTACCCGGATGTGCACAATGCAGTGACATATTGCAACCAATCTTTTGTGGCAGGTGTGCAATACTGCCTGGATCCTGGTAAAATCACAAAACTACATATTTGTGTCTGTCCATCATACTCCTGACAAGAGCCTCCAGACTAGAAATTTTACTTTACAAAATCAACTGCCCATGAGTGATTGTGTGATGGGCTTTCCTCTAAACCCCTGTAAGGGAGCAATATTTGGTTGACATGTGAGCATTTATGATGGTTATCATCCATGTGGAAGTTTCCCATGGATGGATGTGGGATACAATGCCCATCTACCAGCTTTCATTGTGTGTCCAGTGGCCTGTCACCAGGCAGGGCTTTTCAATTGCAGGAAAAAATACCTTCTCTGGAGGCTGAAACACCAAAAAAAAATCATTTCATTTTGTCAACTAGAAATGCAAACAACAGAAACTAATTCATGCATTTATGGTGCATACAATTTTGCATTTTTGACAAAGTGATTTGCACACATGTTGCATCCATTCAAAGGGGGTTACTATGCTGTGGTCACATGATTAATGTAGTAAAGACATGCTCCATCCAAAAACATTTTTCTATTGCTGTTGGAGGCCAAACACCAGTCACTGTGAGTAAGGTTTACATGTATGTGTACATGACTCAACTCTTGTGATGTATTTAGAACTTTGCATTGGTTTAACTGGCTCTGAAAAGCCACAATTACATACTGTAAAGCTATTTTTTTGTTGGGAAAACAACATAACAGCCTGTTAGAATAGCTTTACAGGGGGCTGTAAAAGCAAAGGTAAGTCCTCCACTATCAGTCATCCAGATTGATCAAATTGTCCTGCTAAACTGATACCTCCAGAATGAAGTCCCAAAGTTAGGTTAGAGCTCCTTGGGTCAACTAGTTGGGGGCCAGTGAAGATAAACAGAGGTGGGGATAATCTGCATCACATTTTAACACCAGTTACATGCCAATCAACCTCTATGTAAATTACTATGTTTGACTTTATGGTCATTTTTCTTTCTTTTTATTGCAGAGGGGGGGGGGGGGTATGAATACTTTTTTATTTGATGTAGCAAGTGCTGTCTACAAAATCTTGAGAGATTAAAATTATAATGTATACAAGGGAGAGCTTTAATGCATTGATCCATTCTTGTTGAAAAAATCAAAACTATTCTTAAGAGTCATCTAGTTTAATTCTAAACAAATTTGTAAAAAGAATGGGATGCCCCGGCAGGAAAAATCTATCCAATGTGTTGCCTCAAGTGAGCGCTTAACGCTATAGGTTAATCACATGCTCGGACTATGAGCCCGAGTTGATTGTCACAAAGCTCCTGACTAAGCTGACAGGCTCATCAAAGATTGTGACTTACTCCTCCTGCCACTTATCGAGTTTGCCGGTGCGCATAACAAACATCAAGTAAGCTGGAGACGGCCCCGTTTAGCCTCTTCACTCACACTTTGCCATCAATCACCAAATTGCCTGGCAAGTTACTTATAATCCGCAGTGGGGTTTGCAGCACACATCTCTTGTCTGACCAGCATCACATGTTGTATGGAGCCTCAAAGGCAACAATTTTAGGCATGATGAGCACATTGACTTCACTTAATATTCAATCATTTTCTGACAAGAATAGAGAATAGGTAAGTAGAAGGAGGTTGCTTGGAATCATTGGACCACCGTTGAGTTGAGTGAGGATCATCAATGGAGAGCGCAACAGCATAACATCCGGTCCGTTTGATAGGTTTGAATTTGACAAGAGGTGGCAGGAGATCCAGCGAGGAAGAAGAGGAGGAGGGGAGGGAGGAGGAATCGGAGCTACCAACAATCTTGATGAACTGAGACAACAACACAGTTTGATCGGATTCAAATTTGAATTTTTCTATTAGCCCAGCAATGATTTTGTCAGGCTTGATAGAGGAGTAAAGAGAGTCTGAGTTTTTGGGTCTGGGGCGTTTAAAGACAAGTGCAGGATGATGAGAAGAGCGTAGTGATTGAGTGAGAGTGTGTAGGTATTGAATTGTGTCTGTTTGTGCTTTGTTTTTTTATGTGTATGGAAGTATGTGGAGGGAGAGAGGGGAGGGATCATCAAAAGCAAAGATGATCGACTTTGCAATTAACGCCACCAATCAAAGCTTTCAGGATAAAATCAAACATGATAGCGTTAAGTTGTCATCGAGAGCGATCAAATGTCGAGTGGCCTATCTAAGTAGGATTGGTTTGTATGTGATAGCTTGAACAGGGAGAAATCAGTCCCAGTCGGATATATTTCAAAAGAGGAAACTGCTAGAAAGATGTAGACTTACATCGGGATCATTTCCGCTCTGGACAAAGGATGTTTCAAGTTGGTTTAATGGGAACCTATTTGAGTCAAGGCATCAGCCGATATTGACAATGACTTGTTCAGGACCTTGGCCGCGATCAGGTTCCCCATCTGCTCAAGCAAAAAAAAAACGACCAAAGCTTAGGAAAATAATGGTCAGAGAGGATAACTATGACTAACCAGTCAATACAATGAGATTCATGGGTTTAACCATTGGCCCGTCGTTTTTAGACTGATGCAAATGCGTAAGATAGGGGTCGGACAAAGCGGGACGGGTTGAGGGGCAGAAGAAGAGGCGGATTGACGGGTGAGGATGATGGGGGACGGGCTACAGTGCTGGCCGGATTGGCGGCTTGTTTCCACTTGTTAAGTTGTGCTTGGGCACCGCGAGGCTCGCCCCTGGTGATCGGCATCTTCTCCCCAAGCCGCTTGAGTAACTCAACCAACAACCGGGATGGGCCCGGCGCTGGTACCTTCAACCCTTGTAGCACAGTTGGATGAAAGTGATGGATCGGGATCCCAACATTTGCACAGTACAGCACTTGTCCCAAGGGGAAAAGTTGTTGCCTCATGTTACCGGGCTTGACTCGAATAACTTGCCTTCATCAAGACGGGATAAAAAACGGTGGGGTTTTTTTTGGTAATCAATCAACAAACAAAGATGAATTAAAAATTGATATAACAAGGAAAGAGATGAGATGAGATACCTGCTTTACCATGACTTCAATGATTGGTCCTCAACTGAACCTTGATCCGTTTCTGGTCCCAAACAAAATGTTAAAAAACAACAACAAAGCTTAGCAAGGAAAAAAAAGGAAAGAAAGAAAAAGAATGACTTCTCAGACTACAGTTCATACAAGGAAGACAAAGGGCTCACACAGGGGCTTGAAGAGAACCATTGAGACAAAGAGGGTGCCAGTTGGATGGAGCTAAGAACACCAAGAAAAGAGCCAGAGATTGATAGGAGTGAGTGGAGATTAGATACCCCAGAATTTTGGCGCGAGCAGAGTAGGCATCCGATGGAGATAGGATCAAGTTTCCTGGTGGTTTGATTGATGGCTGGGTTGATGATCCTGTTCTCAGGCAATACTACACAGATGGGCAAAGAGGACCAATGGGCCCTTGCAGGAAAGAACAAGCGGCCCGTTGGATGCAAGTCGAACTTACTGCTGGGCTGACCTGACCGACCCAACACCACGCAAGCAACCCCCCCTCATCCAAATCCCAAGAACCCAAGCTTTTCCGACCGACCTCTTGCAGTTAAGCCCAGTCCTGCTCATCAAAGAATCCATCCCAAGTTTCCTGGTGGTTTGATTGATCGAGGGTTGATTGATGGCTGGGTTGATGATCCTGTTCTCGGGCAATACTACACAGATGGGCAAAGAGGACCAATGGGCCCTTGCAGGAAAGAACAAGCGGCCTGTTGGATGCAAGTCAAACTTACTGCTGGGCTGACCCGACCGAACCAACACCACGCAAGCAACCCCCCCTCATCCAAATCCCAAGAACCCAAGCTTTTCCGACCGACCTCTTGCAGTCAAGCCCAGTCCTGCTCATCAAAGAATCCATCCATCTGCGCATCCGGAAAAAAAAACAAGCAGGGACGCGACCAACTACCTCCTCAACCGCCTCACCTCACCCTTTAACAGAACCGCCCCAACTTATTACCAGGCAGGGTCCCCTACTAGTCATTTCTTCCAGCATAAAGCTTGGGTCCCATTTCATCTCAGCAGTCAACTGGCCTCCCTAAAAACTCATTCATCAACTGACCACCTCCCCCTTAAATTGTCATAGGTAATCCCACCTCTGGATCTTATTTCAACACCTGGACAACTATCCCCCCCCCCATAACAGTTATGACCTCATCCGCGTAAGTGACCCTTTTAACTTTCATGAGCAAGAATCCCTCTTGGATCTTGTGGAGGTGTCAAATCTGGAAAACACGCTGTGCAGAAGAGGGCCTGGCGTACTAGTCAACCCCCTGTTGCATTGTGGGGCCAATGGAAACCAGGCTTACTAGTCAGGGGCTCATTGGTTTCTGTGTTAAACAGCTGCCCGCCATGGGGTTTAGGGATATTGGGGGTTGCAGATGGGCTGACAAGTGATTTGCATTCTACTAGGGCTGATGGTATGGCCTCTCAACCAATGAGGGGCTGCAATTATACCTCAGATGATATTGACACTGGTCCGACAGCTGTGCAAATTTCTTCATAGGCACCATCAGGGACACCATTCAGTGGTTGTTGACTTTGATGTGATGGCTGTCTTCCTGATGCAAGAGATGAGGCCTAAGCTACACATCAGCAAAATTGTCCTCCTGTTGCTCCAGCAATTTGAATCAGTCATGTCACCCACCAAGAAACCCGATACCAGTTCCCCACCGCAAACTTCAATCCAAAGCCAACTACTGCAAGCTTCTGAAGCTGTCTATACTAGGATCAAAGATTAAAATGATGGGTTGTTGACATCCAAGCCATTCTGCCTGCGATATCCGACCTGTTCAGCTGTCCTGGAACACTTGAAGGCCATGCAGACCAGGTGTGATATCCTGCCAAATGATCATATGGTGGATTTGCTTGATGAAGCAGGTGTTTGTGTGGGAGTAGGTGTTCCACCTAATCCAGCCTCTAGTGAACATCACATGAAGCCAGATGTAAGTTTGTCAATCTAGAAAACTTTCCTAATATTTCCCTAACCTCTCCCCAACCATGATATAGATCCGCGCAAAGATGAAACTTGACAATACTGTCTTGACCTGGGCTGGATGAGCTGGAAATTTGGGCTGGATGAGCTGGAATTGCCCCTGGGAAATGGGCTGGATGAGCTGGAATTTACCCTGTGAAATGGGCTGGATGAGCTGGAAAATTGGGCTGGATGAGCTGGAATTGCCCCTGTGAAATGGGCTGTGTGAGCTGGAAAATTCCCCGTAGATGTTCTGAGCTGGATGAGCTGGTTTTGAGATGGGCTCATCCAGCCCAGCAGAAGTTTTGGCTTCAAGCCAATGATTTTGCCGGTTTTTTCTTTGGCTTCAAGCCAAAGAATTTAATTGACACAGGTGTTTGAGAACTGGTTGTGGTAAAGCTCAAAAGTGTTTGTAAAAACCTTTTTCTGAGTGTGGAAAGGGATGAATGAGGATACCTCTGCCTTTCCTGGATCATTAGACACTAGAAAACCCCACCAATCTCAGATTGGAAGGTTTAATAAAGTGATAGTGGAGTGTATCAAAAGATAACTGTGGCTTAACAGGGGGACAAAGGGTTTAACCCAGTTTTATAAGGGTCTAAAAGGTTGATTTGAGAGTGAGAGAGTGAGTCTATCTGATATTTCAAGGGTAAAGGGATGGTATGTAATGGTATGTAAGGGTTTGTAAGGGTAGGTGTAAACCCCCTCCCTCCTCAGTCAGGGTTTCACAAGACATACAACTAGATGTCACAGTTCACGAGTTCTTTTGTCTCATTTTTGTCTTCCTGGCTCAGCAGAGAACTGACCCCGAACTTCTCTCTGAGCTAGGTGAGCTTATTTTCCATTTCTTGATTTCCTTTTGTATTTCTTTTGATTTCAGATTGTACAGAGAGAACTGACCCCGAACTTCTCTCTGAGCTAGAAATACATCCCCCTTGTTTGGTCTTAGAACTTTGCTTAGGCTTTTCAGCCGTTCCCAGTGCCTTTTCCCCCTTTTCCAGTGAAGGACTTTCTCAGTCCTTACACTTTTTTTTTCTCACACCAAACAAACGAAAAACCTTATCGACGACTGCTCCAAACGACTGTTCCGTTTTGTACTGACCGTTCTGCTGCACACCGACTGTTCCGACTGCATCGTTCTGATTACTTCGACTGTTCTGCTTACTTCAACTGATCCGCCCCGACTGCCGTTTCGCACCGTTCCGAACTGTTCCGATCGTATCTCTACTTTACTCCCATCTCCTCTATCCGTTCAACCTGTTCGATCCGTTCTCGGCTGAGTACATGATAACAAGGAATAACACGACCAACGATAACTTGCTTCCCCTGTCAGACCCTGAAGCAATCCTCAAAGCCGGAAACGCCGAAAAAAGGCGAATTAAACAAACATCCAATAGATCTATTGCTCCTCTTCCCTCCACATCGCTTACATCGCCCGAGACCATGTCTGACGCAAATCCCCCACCCAGCGGCCAAGAACAACCGGCCACCGATTCTACTCGTGACTCCACCCGCACTGCCGACGGAACCGACATGAGCACGGCCAAGGAGTGGTTCAAGGCCGTGCTCAAGATCCAACATTCAGCTATCTCCCAAGCGCAGGAAGACTGCCGCCAGGCTTTAGAAGACCGCCGAGCAGATCGACAACTTTTCCTCGCCGCCCATCAGGCCAGCGCAGATCGCATCGGCCGATTGGAGGACCTACTACTTGCGATGAATATCAAGAACGAGGTCAACGCGCGAGCCGAACATCCAGCACCGGGGCGAGTTGACTTGCAGAAATTCCGTACCTCCGACGGCCCGACTTATCGCGGACCGTTTCAAGAAACTGAGCCATTCTTGCGCTGGATCCACGGCGTCCAGATTTTTTTTGAAACAAAGAGTGTCAACAATGCGGCCGATAAGATCAAGATCCTTGGGAATCTAGTGGCGGAGACTAACTTACAATCCTTCTACGCGAACGAAGCGTCAGGCTTCCTCACCAAATCGTGGGAAGAGTTTAAAACCCGAATGTTTGATTTCGCCCTCCCTAACAATTGGCGCTCCGGACTCCAACGTCAAATCCGGAAATTGGATATGTCACCATCCGAAACCTTTCTGGAATACAGCACACGGGCTCGAACCTTGCAGAGCTTATTCAACTTCGACGCCGAGAAATTCTCCAAGCTCGGAGACCTTCAGCTGGCCCAATTTGCTGTATACGGCCTGCCCGACGCCCTTCAAGATAGGATCAATGAACGACAGCTCCTGGAAGCATCACCATTTGCGTATGGACAGTTCGAGAAGAAAGCGAATGCATCATTTCTTGCGTTGCACCGCTCCCCAGAATTGCCTCCGAGGGCCAAATCGACTCCCAACGCACCGCCGACACTAGGCCGCGACGAGTTCATATGGCGAGTCCATGCGTTTCTCGACTCCCAGGGACTCTGTCACTTCTGCAAGAAGCACTGCGGCAACGCCGCAGGAGCCTGCCCCGGACCGATCGACCGCTCACACATCAATATTCCCAATAACTTTCAAACCCCGACCAAGCCACTCGACTACGTGGCCCCCCGTGCATGGAGTAAACCATCCACTGGCCCCGGACAATCTTCTCAACCCCCGGCCGGCCGACCCCCAGCTCGCGCAGCCAGTGTGGCAGGCATTGCGGAAGTGTCACCGCTGGAAGCTCACGTCGCTGGCCTGACTGTCGACGCGGCGATCAGGGAAGACGCACGCTTTGACCATGAATTTGATGATGAAGGATGTTTCCCAGCCCTGGGTACTGCCGCCGTAGCCGCACTTGAAGACCTCGACACCCAACTGTTGCAAAATGAAATCGACCGGGCCACCCAAGCTTCTGACGGTTGGACGGGCAACTTGGCAGACGACATTGCAGGTTATTAAGTATAAAAGCTGGCTTCTGGGAATTGCCCTAACTCTTTATTTCTCTCTTTGTTTCCTTTTTTCTTTCCTTTCTTCAATTTTTTTGTAGGAGGGGAGACTGTAAACCCCCTCCCTCCTCAGTCAGGGTTTCACAAGACATACAACTAGATGTCACAGTTCACGAGTTCTTTTGTCTCATTTTTGTCTTCCTGGCTCAGCAGAGAACTGACCCTGAACTTCTCTCTGAGCTAGGTGAGCTTATTTTCCATTTCTTGATTTCCTTTTGTATTTCTTTTGATTTCAGATTGTACAGAGAGAACTGACCCCGAACTTCTCTCTGAGCTAGAAATACATCCCCCTTGTTTGGTCTTAGAACTTTGCTTAGGCTTTTCAGCCGTTCCCAGTGCCTTTTCCCCCTTTTCCAGTGAAGGACTTTCTCAGTCCTTACAGTAGGGGGTATGAAATAGGTGGATACTAAACTGGTGGGAAAACAACTGAGAGGAGAGCCTCTTAAATACACAAAGTTGAAGGATTTTAGCTCCAGGGGAACAATAGAATGAGAGATTTTAGCTGGTCAGAGCTTTACAATGAGGGGATTTTAGCCAGTCAGAACATTTACATGAGGTATTTTGGCTGGTTGAGCCCCCTACATGATGTCAGGAGTGTTCTCTTAGCTGGTCTAGAAGGTCTAAATGAGGGTTTTATGCTGGTGAAGCATTTTACATGAGGTGATGTACTAGTCTGCAAGCTAAGGTGAGGTGATGAATATTTCATGAGTGGTGTGAGATAGTGTGACAGATGCAAGGAAGATTAACAAGTGACATGGCAACAAGTGACATGGCAACAGGACCAGCCCAGAAGCTGCATATGTCAAGTGTCAGAAGATAGTGTAGTTGTGTTTATACCTGTTGTCAGCCTGCTACTATTCAGAGACAACCTGACCATAGCATAATAAATATTTAGAGACATTATTACATATACTACCCCCATAGCATATGTAATTAATGTCTATTTTATATGTACATAATGTAGAGACATTATTACATATGCACATATAAAAACATTAATATTTAAATAAGTGGAATCACTTTAATAGAGACATTATTACTCATTACATTAAGTTTTACTAGTCATGAAAGAAAACATAAAAATAAACCAAAAACATTTATAAATAAACATTTTTAACATGAATCTACAAATAACTTCTAAAAATTAAGCAAAAGTTAGAATATTATTTCAGATTCTTAATTCTCATGCAAAATAACCTAGGGTACCCCACCAGAAGTACCCCTGAATTATTACTCCTTCAGGTACTTCTGTGTACTCTGAGTGACACGTCTTGCTCATTTTGCTAAAAACCCTCCCAGTTACATCATACTACATGTTGTGACAGGTCTACATATGTAATTAAGGTTCATGCAGTTCGGGAAAAATCTACAAATAAGGTTAACATCATTGAAACCTTAACTACAGTGTCACAACAACTGTAACTGGCTGGTCAAAAGCCATTTGTGGCCCTTTTTTGGCCCAATTTGGCTAACTACGCCTGGTTAAGACCAGCCCACTGGTCATTAAAAAGGGTCCAAGTTCCCAAACCATGGCTGCAGGTTTGTCACAGCACTCCTTAGTGTGTGTTACAAGCCTCACTTCAGCCCTCTGCCACCTGTAACCAAGGACTACAGGTGTCTAGGCAGTGCTACAGGTCACCAATGCCTAGTAGGAGGCTTGCACCAGCCAAACAGAGTTCTGAGTTCGCCTCCAAGGGCCCAGAATGAGTATATAAGGAGCCCTTCTTGACCACAAACTCAAATTCCCCATCTTCATTACCATTTACCAGCAATAACCACCTCCAACAACCAGTTTTCACCTGTTTTTGGCCCAGTTCCTGCTGTTTCTGTCTTGAATATCACCAACCCAACCATCAACTGTTCCCCAGCACTCTTCCAACACCTGTTACCCAGTTTTCTGAGCGCTCCCAGACCAGTTTTCACCCACCTGAAGTCCCCTTGGCTTGGAAATAGTACTAAGTAGGTAATATTTCCTTGATACTTCAGTTGTAGGCATATTGTCTGGGCATACTCCTTTCCACAAAGGACCAGATCATCAGGTACATCAAAAATAACCCTGTTTAACAGGTCCTGATTCATTGGAGGGCACCATAAAAACCCCTGTAACTCAGGCCCCTCCCTTTATAAAAACTTAACAGTTTTTATTATTTCTTTTCTTAATAACAAAACCTCCCCATTCCAAGTGTTACCCACACTTGTACACCTTTTTTCTTAGCTTTGCACCTGGTGTAGCTAGAAGAGTCAAGCTCTTGGCATCACCCAGGCTGACACCTGTACTAGAATGGTGTGATTATGCAGTTGTCCTGCAAAGTGCATGTGTGTAGTGTGAATTATGTAATTTGTTGGTGTTGTTGAGTGTTGAAGTGTTGCCATGGTTCTGAGTTGTGTAATTGAGTGTAGTGATGGTCCAGAGAGTGTAGCTTCCAATCCAGTTGAGTTCCAGTAATGCCTCCAGTGGTGACCAAGGGTGAAATTGACCATAGAATCCAGTTCTTGAGCCATATTGCGTGATTTGTGAGTTTGTAGATGAGAAAAAAGGTATATTTGTGTAATAAAAGAAAGAACAGTATAAAATTTTTAAATGGGCCAGATGGGCTACCCTTAAGGTATACCACATTGCTGAGTTCAACATCAAATTGCTAGACGCAGCTTCAAGGCACAAGAGGTCACAGAGAAAGAAGTGAGAGGGACAGCTTTTTTTGACTGGGTTTATAATTCTGCCCGGGGAAAGAATGCAGAGCCAAAAGAGGAGGAATTTTATCATTACTTTTACCTATAGTTAATTTTTATTCAAACAATGGGGTAATTCAAGGGGGGATAGGGTTATGAACTGTGGAGGAATTGAACTGGGGATGGTACATATGTACATAGTATGTTACGTACATGTCACAAACTTTGAACTTGGTGTTTGTTCAAGATCCACACCTTGTACATCCCTCATCTTGCAATCTACCATTAGAAACCAGAACCTAGAAGATCCAGTCCTGCTGCCCTCAGAACTACCATAACATTTATTTCACCCATGGTTTCAATGTAGATCCTCCTTGGCCAACCAGGCAGAGACCCAGCAAGCACTTGGCTGCCTGTTGCTGATGGAGAATGGAGGATGAGCAACAGCCAACCCAATTGGGAATGGCTGCGCAGTTTACCCTAACAAAGTCAAGGGAGGAGAGCGGATGAAGTCTGTTCTGACCTTTTCTCTCTCCATCCCTTCCCTTCCCCAATTCAAGACCTCAAGTTTTTCCGATAAGGACCGTTCATCATCATCAGCTTTTTTGCTTATCATCCTCCAATCTTCATTGAATTTGGACGCTTATCAACCTTGGTTCTTCATCAACATAGCTCTTCTTCCGGCCTTTAATTATCCTGGCAAAATCTAAACAGTTTACTTTTTTTTTTGAAATAGATCAAATACAACCTTGCACAGGACATTTTCTGAGCACCTTTGACCAATACTCTGCAATAATTTTTGAGTGTGGCAATCCAGACACATCTCTAGGTCTGTATTGCTCTCATTTTTCTGTTCTACTGTATTTTTTGGGTACCATTTCTGATTAGCTATTCTCTCCTTGGTTGCGTTTGGTCAAAGTAGGTCAGAGAGTCCATCATTCAACCCGGAAGCTTTCTCAAGCCAATTCTTGCAAGTAATTGACAGGATTTAAACTGGCCTAGCCACCACATTGCTTTCTTTTTCAAAATGGCTGTTATAATTTTTTCAGACTCCAAATGCAAGTATCAAGGCAGTGATCAATCCCCTTTTTCCGCCCTGGACACGCCTGGCCCCCGCACACATGTGACTACAAAGTTGTCTACACACAAAGAGATAGAGGCCCATATGGCAAGCAATGCAGCTGGGCACTTAGAATTATTGGAAGATCCTGGAGAGGACACTGTGAGAACTCCTTTGGGATGTGTTGGCAGTCCTTGAGGGGGAAATAACAATATGATATTTCACTAGGTAATATTTACTGTTACGGGTGGTTTGAAAGACCCCTCTATTACTACACAAGAATTCTGACAATAATTTAATTTATTGATGTGGCGTAACTTTATGATTGAGAATATGCAGTAGTCTCTATCAGACCTAGATCAGTATGTAATACAATACAAGATGGTTGTACAACCTTTCTACAGTGAATATGAGTGTGAAAACAATCTAATGCAATATTTTATGGGGTTTTTATGGTTTACAGTGATTCTGGATAGAATAGTGAAGTTGGTTGTTGTTGTTGATGTTGTGGTTGTTGTTACTGGTGTTGACTAGTCCTTCAATGTTGAATTTTTTGATTTTGATGACCGCTGAGCTAGCTGGGTGATGATGGTGATGACCACTGAGCCAGTTGGGTGCACCACGGGTCAGTTGCAACCGCAGGCCAACATCAAACCAACCCTGCCAACCCCGCCCTCATTGGCTGGTGTGTTTCTATGCGGGAGGTGTCAGGAGCCGCCGTTGGCCCAACCCTCCCACACAGACATTACGTGGGGGCCCGTGGTTGGCGAGCGGCCAATGCCGGGATTAGGTGAGTGCCCGCCATCAAGGAAACTTCCCAACACCGGGCTTAGGTTGGGTGTATCCTCAGTGCTGCACATGAGACTACCTCCGATGGCTTCTGGTCAATGGTCGACAGAAGAGTTTGCCGTTGGCCAGATGTCAGGCAAGAATGCAAGTGGCAAAAAAAAAGAATCGGTTGGATTTTCATCTTAGAAAAACAGACCGGATCTAGATGAAAACCAAGGAAAAAAATGAGAGAATGATCTGGTGGTTTTTTTTGGTCTGTAGACCGCCTGAATGAGGAATCCAATACTGCATTTATTTCTGGTGGGCATGTGACCCGGCAGGATTCCTTTCCAGGAAACCCGACTGAGTAGATGAATAAAAAGAAAAGTACAACAACTTTAAATTTTCATAGTTTATTGTAAAAAAAGAGAACTTGGTTGGTTCTTTTGGTGGCATTGGGTGACAGGATTGGCTATTGATTCAAACCTGGAGAGTGAGCAGTAGCGATTGCGTTTCGTACATCTTCAAGGGTAGGAACGGTGAGCTCTGTGTGAAATATTGCAGAACTTCTTCTTTTGTGAGAAGAGTGCCGCATCTTTTTCCAAGACAAGGTCTGCATGTCTGGAATGAACAAGCAGCAATTAATATATGCAGTGTTTGGAAGGGAAAGTGTGTAAGTGTCAGCCTTAGAGCCAGCCAAGCTGGCCAAAAGACTGCTTAAGTCCTCCTTTTCAGCTATGTTCCTAATATAACTTTTTTATCTCTTGATTTTACTACATTCTGACTTCAGAAATGAATTTCTCATGTGATTTTATCCTTAGTGACCACTACACACTTTTACACTACTCTTCTCCTTCATAGACTTTGTAATATTTCACCGTACCTTGTGAAATATCAACCAAGTTGGAATTCCAACTCTCTACCACATGTACATGCTGTGATTATGTAATCCAACTCTGAAAATTCTCTCAGAGGATACTGAGT